ATTATAATTGAAAATCTTAACAGTTCTGAAGCAAAAACTGTCATAGTAAATCTTTGGTTTTCTGACCTCTTCTCTTTAGAGCCAAGTTTCTTGACAGAAAACTAGTTTCTCAATTTTTTTTTAACTCTTCAACCAAATGGAGCTGGCCTTTGTTCCATTAATCCACAGAAACTGCTGAGAGTTTATCCACCAATGCTTTCAAACCCTGTCACCTGACATCTCGACAGCATTTGACACCATGAATTGGCTTCTGTAACTTCCACTCTCCCCATTTCCCTACTTTTTTGTTGTTGGTGTTGTTTCTTTGCCTTTTAAGTCTTTATGACTCCTTTCTCTTTAACTCCTGAAATAATGGTGCTCTTCAATGAGTTCTACTTAGCCTCTTTCTCTTTTCACTGAGCGTTCTGTAATGCACTTCTAGTTTTACCTATCAGGAGAGAAAGTTGGTCTGGTGATAAGATATTTTGATGATAAGATATTTCTCTATCTCTCACAAGCCATTCTCTATCCTAGGCCAGAGTAATCTTTCTAGAACATGAATCTGATAACATCACTCCCCTTGTTAAAATTTCACTAATAAAGTCCAAAATCCTGAGAAGGAATTTAATGTCTTCATGATCTGACCTGTGCTTTCCTTTCCCTGTTTATCACTATTTACCGATAGCTTTGTGTCTAGATTTCTGTTTTTCAACATGACCTCAATTCAAGTGTCATTTCCTCTGTGAAGTGAGTTACTTGCTTTCCCTACCATTCTCTTAGGCACTCTTTGTACACAAATTCTGTCATTATCTTCATTTACATTTTCCTTTTCAACTAAACCATTTAAAGGCACAACTGCAGTAATTTTTAAAAAACAGACTAAAGACCTTGGGAACATTTGCAAAGGAATAAGATTCAATACATTAACAAAAAATAAAGTGGCTAAAGAACCGAAAAATGGGAAAAGCAACAGAGTTAGTTATTACTATAACTAACAATACTCCTTCAAAGCTAAATTACATCTCCTACCCTGTCTATATAAGATAGCTAGGATCAAAACCAACATGTACCAGATTTACTTATAAACTTGTCAAGATTCATTTTCTAACTGAAATCTGGCTTAAACAAAAAAAGAACTGCTATTCAACCTTTTCAACTACTGGTGTAAATGGAATGACCTTTTATTGATGAGAAACATTGGCTTAATTATGCTAGCTCTCATCAGGTTTGAAATTTTAAAACAGTAGTCATTCAAGGGAGACATGCTAAGATAAGTTGACAAAGTGTCTATCATTAAGAAAAATTAAGAATGAAAATAAGAACTACAATGGAATCTGATTTATTCTATTTATTTAAAGCTGCAACTAGTATATCTTATTTATTACTTAATACTGTGAAAGAAGTTATGGCAAATAAATAAATAAATAAAACCTACACTCAGCCTACTTCCCTTCTAGAATATAAAAATAAGCCACAGAATAACCATCATTAAACTTTATAAAATATTTGTAAAATAAAGGCCATTCTTATAGTCACATAGTAGAAATATAAATTAAACTGAATACAATCTTAATAGTAAAGGAATCTGAATTGATAAAGTTTTGTAATAAATATTTTGTTTGCTCACGTTATACAAACATGGTTGGGAATATGTTTTCCTTCTCAAATTCTTAAAAAGAACACCACCTCTAGGATGGATTAGTAATACTTCATGAGGAAAACAATGAGCAGAGGATCAAAACAAGCATCCTTTTCTTAAGTGCAGCATCTGTGAAAAGAAAAACAGCAAGATAGCTCATTTCTGACAATTAACTACAGAAATCAAAGTCACACAGGCATACTGGATATCTTCCTGTACTTTTTTTGCAACATCATATGCCTGTTTCTTAATAAAAACACACAAACTTAATAATTAACAAAAGTATATGGCAGAAGCCCATTCACCTCCCCCTTCTCTAATACAGAATAAATTAAGAAAAAGCTTTGAGCTCCCATAGTACTTTTTACATACCTCAACTTCAACTTGTTATACCAAACTGTAATTATTTTCTTTTGTCTCCCCAACACAAATTACAAATTTCATCTTTATATCCTTAAAAAACACACATACATATGCTTAATTCACACTTCTGATTTTGGATTCAGAACAAATACCGAATCTATGGGTAAAAAAACAAAACAAAACACTTTGGTCAGAGGTTTTCTAACCCTGAAAGGACACTCTACTTTTCAAAAAGTTAAATACCAGTCAGGCGCTGTGGCTCAAGCCTGTAATCCCAGTACCTCGGGAAGCCAAGGCGAGAGGATTGCCTGAGCTCAAGTGTTCAAGACCAGCCTGAGCAACATGACGACACCTCGTCTCTACAATAAATCAAAAAATTAGCTAGGCATGGTGGCACATGCCTGTGGTTCCAGCTACTTGGAAGGCTGAGGCAGAAGGTTCACCTGAGACCAGCAGGTAGAGGCTGCAGTGGCCATGAGCGTGCCACTGCATTATTTTCTCTGAAATGCTCCTAATCCCATTTTTGGTTGGAGAAATAAGTTTTTTCAGGGCATTCACACCAGAAGTTGCTGTCTCTTACCTAAACATACATTCCTTGACCCCTTTACAACTTATATCTTGGTAAAACCATTCTGGCCCTAAGTAGTCTGTAATAATAATTGTGTCTTTAAATAAGTAATATATTTAAGTTTCATAAATAAACATATTAAAAAACATTATACCACGGGAATCACAACTAGTAATAAAAGTTCTTAAACAATTTTTATGCATTTATCGCAGAATAAATCGAGACAGTTCTACAGGCCGAGGATGGTGGCTCACATAATCCAATACTTTGGGAGGCTGAGGCAGGGGAGGACAGCGTGAGACCAAAAGTTAGAGACAGCCTGGGCAACATAGTGAGACCTCCATTTCTGGTTCAAAAATAGAAATAAAAATTTTAAAATAAAACACACACACACACACACACACACACACACACACACACACACACAGTTCTACAAACCCATCATAAACAGAAAACCTTCAGATGACTGATTCCCAGTTAAACCTTGAATAAACTCCATAATGTCTAAAGCAACTGAGAATAAGGTAGAGGTAGCAAAAATCAGGTATTTTGTTATTTTCCTTTTCAACTTGCTCACAATCTCCACCGTCCCCAAATACTCCCCCTCGCCAATGTATTACAATTAAAATGCTGATACGTTTATCATCCTCTTTCTGGCCCGCATTTAGTCAGCACTAAGTTATAAAATGTCCAAAAGTGAACACGAGAAATAGAAACGTTAAGGAACTAAAGCTTTCCAAAAGATATAAGAATTTAAAAACTCTGAATTAACAGAGTTGGTAAAGACACCAGATTCTCCCCCCCCCCACTATTTTAAAAGACAGCAATTGGAAGAATAAATCAAGAAAGGTAAAATCAGAATCACAAGAATGGCAGGATTATGCACAACAAGTTTCACTATTTTAAATATCAAAGTGCAGTATGATAAAGCAACGGTATTCCCCAAACTGCTTACGACTACTCTTTTCTCCCTCCAATCAACTAAGGCAACTTCACATCAAATACAAAGTTTCTGTGTCAGCCAAAACCAAATGCTCATGAAACTTGGACTTCTGACGTGAGATCTTAGATTCCAGTAGTTCACCGCAATCCATGACCCACATCAATGTTAAAAAGCAATATACCAATGAAGCAACAACACTATGGTGTGACACATGAGAATTACCAAAGCGCAACTTACTTGAAGTACACACTGATACAAACACGCGGTTCAGATGGTGCGAAGTCACACTCATCTCACAGACCTAGCAATGACGCTACAGGGAACTTTAGAGAGTGACACACCCAGGGCGGACCGCCACGTTAAGGATACAGCTCTTCCGAGGTGGAGAGGGCTCCCGCCAGCTCTGACCGCTGCTGAATCCGGGTCCCGCTCCTCCCAGAGATCTGCCCCCAGGCTTGCCTCCTCGCTCAACCCCTCCTCGCCCCCGACTCCAGCGACTCCCACCCCTGTAAGGCCGGCCTCGAAAGCGGAAGCGGTCCAGGGCGATGTGGCTCCGCTCCCAAAAAGACGGCCGGGGGCTGCTTTCGGACATGGAGCTCGACGGCATCCGCACGGAGGGCGGGTGAGACCGGAATGGCTCTTTGGGTCGGTAGCTGCTGTGTCCCCTGAGGTGGCCCCGCTCCGACGCGTGCCGCGAGCGTGAGAAATTCCTCAGCTGCTGCTGAGAAGAGGCCGATGACGAGGAAGAGCCAGCGCCTCCGCCGGATCCACCGCCCCGGGCCGAGTGAAGAGGCCTCCGCCGCGGATACGGCAACAGCCCGCCGCCGCCGCCGCCACTGCTGCTGCTGCTGCTCCGACTCCGTATCTGGCTGTTGTTATCGTCGTCACTGATTTCCCCATCTTCAAGCTCTCCTTCTTCCTTCGGCGAGAGGCCACTGGAGGCCGGGGCTGGAGTATCTGCGGTCGCCATCCGGGGAGCAGCGCCTTCCAACCTTAGCCCTCTGTCCAGGGATCCGCCCGACAATCGCCTTCTCCTCGGCTCCCCTCTTTCCTAACGGACCCAATTAGTGCGGCCTTGCCCTTCTCGAACACCTAACGGGTTCTGCTCCCCAACTTCCCCGCACCCCGGCGCTCTCTCGCCGGACCGTCGCAACCTAGTTCCCTCTCCTAGCGCCCCCTTGCCCCTCCGCGATCGGAGTTCTTCCGCCTCGCGAGAAAGGGGCTTTGGAAGCTGCTGTGCCCGAGGCGTCACTTCCTGCAATACGCAGGAAACGAGGCTCCCAGTTCACGCGATAATAATAAGGATCGCGCGAGGCTCACTGGGATTTGCAGTCTTTCGTCTCTCATGGGGTCGCCCTTGCGGCCTACGGGTCACACCCATCCCGGGCTCTGGCCTGGGACGGCTGTGTGCATGCGGGTGTGGGCGAGCCTGTTCTTAGTAGCAGCTTTGAAAAAGTTTTGTAGTAATCGAAGGGGAAAACACCTCATTCTTTTCATTGCTCTGAGCACCACTGCCTGTTGGGGGCGGGAAGAAAGAACGAGTTGTGTCCGCCATATTGGTGAAGTCAAAACGAAGGCGACTAGAGCTCCTGGACTGTCCGTTCTGCTGGCTCAAGTCCGCCATATTAATAAAGAGAAAGGGAAGCTTGACCCTCCCTCGCCTCCGCCCTCACATACACACCCCTTTTTCCCACCCCGCTCTCGACTAAGGCTTTCTTGCCTCGGTTGTCCAGCCTCTGCCCGAAGGAAGCGTTAACAGCCTGCGCCTCAGAACCGGCTTAAGACGCCGAATGAAGGGGAAAGGGAAATGCCGACCAATTGCGCCGCGGCGGGCTGTGCTACTACCTACAACAAGCACATTAACATCAGCTTCCACAGGTAACTTGGGCAGGGGGTGGGATGACGGAAACGGGGTCTCCTAGTCTGGGTATCGCTTGTGTAAGGAAAAGGAGGATCCTACTAATTCTAGTAACTTTCCCAGCTGGGTAACAGGGAGGCATCACTTATCCTTTGTGTATGTTTCACAAGTCTGTCCGATTTTTTTTCTCTCCTTTCGGGGAAGGTTTACTCATCTAAAAGAAAGTCAAGTACTATATAGTGATTATTCCTTCGCGAAAAAGTAACAGGAGGGTACCTTGCTTTTCTAGTCTTTTACCACTATATATTAGACCTATCTTGACATGAATGACGCCATAAGGGAGAGAGATCGTCCCTTTCAAGTCCGCAATCATCCTAAAAGACTGCTGCGTTCTTGTACCCCACATCTTTAACATTAAATAAATAATAAAATTAATTTCACCTGTTACTTCTTAATGTGCCTATTAGAAAATTGAAAATTACATGTGACTTACATTATACTAAAAAAAAAAGACTGCTGTGTGCCTGTTAAAATTAGTAAATTATCACTAGCTGAATTGATATGGGAAGCATTTAGATTTCTAACAGTAACCCAGTAACTCTGCGGAGTAGCTGAGTCATCTTTGATAGCCACAGTATTAAGCGATGTTAATAAAAGCTCATAAGATAAACTTTCTGTTCTTATTAGAACAGAGTAATAATAATAACCTAGATTTTTTTTTTTTTCCCTTTGCTGGAAGAACAGTCAAAATTCTTTAGTTCTGTCAAATCAGAACTCTTGAAAGCACTTTGAATATGGCCTGGAAAATATCAGGCACTCCGTAAATATTTACCATCTCTGCAAGTACATGCCACGTGCCTGAAGAAAAGAAACATTTTAAAGTTAAGTGAAAACCGTTCTGATTTTATTTACCTCACAACTTATATGATCTTAGAATGTGGAAAATTATGTCCTTGACCTTTTCCCTAACTCACTATTACTAACTGTACTTTTATTAAAAGCTGGCACTTAAAAGAAAAATCTTTGTGATGTTTGTTTTTAAAACTACTTTATGAAAAGCAGTGTTTAATTCATTCCTCCACCAAATATGTACCTAGTTCTTAATTATCTGACATTGTGTTAAGGATCCAGAAAGTTATAACCCTCCTGGATTTAGAGTTTAATGGGGGAGAAAGACATAAATAATTACAGTTAAGTGCCACAGAAGAGACATTCAGAGAGCCCTAAGTTAACCTTGAAAATTCCGAGGGCTCTTCTCAAAGGATGTGACATTTCAAATGAGACCAAAGGATGACAGATTTGGTCCTGTATGCTACTTGAGTATTTTCCATTTTATCCTAAGAGTACTTGAGAAGTTATGAAGGGTTTAAAAAGAAGAATGGCAGAAAAGATATGCATATATAAAAGCCCTCTGGCTGCAGTGTGGAGAGTTCTAGTGTTAAAGTGCTGGTCAAGCATCATCAGATGAACTGGAAAATGAGCTTATTAGCCGGGTTCGGTGGCTCAGCCTATAATCCCATGCCTTTGGGAGGCTGAGGTGAGTGGATTGCCTGAGCCCGCGGGTTCGAGACCCACCTGGGCAGCGAGACCTCATCTCTACAA